GCCCTCCAACAAGTATTTCTAAGTCTCTGTGGCTACAGCCGGACACTCAAAAGTTGTGCTTGCCCCTCTGCCCGAACTCGGGGCCAAGAGTGAGTGCGTGTTCTCTTTTTCTTCTTCCCTACCTTGATTTTTAAGGAGCTCTGGTAGCGTAGTGGTTAAGAATTGAGCTGCTAACCTCAGGGTCAGCAGTTCGAAACTACCAGCTGTTCCGCAGGAGAAACATGAGGCTTTCTGCTCTCGTAAAGATTTATAGCCTCAGAAACCTAGTATGGGGTCGCGATGAGTCGGAACTGATTCCATGGCACATAACAACAACCACCACCTTGGTTTTTGGAGTCCTGGTGTGGCGCTGTGGGCTAATGCGTCAGTCAGACTGCAAACTCGTTTGAGCTGCAAGGTCAGTGTTTCAATCTCACCAGCTGCTCCTTGGAAACCCTATACAGGGTCGCAATGGGTCGTAACCGACTTTGACGGACGGCATTTAACAACAGCCTTGGTTTTGGAGGGGAAACCCTAGAGTGTGTGGGACTGACTATTCTTTCTTCCTAATGAGGAATGAAGACTAGACACACCCATTACCACTCCCCCCATCACACACACATGCATACCCCCCTCCACATTCAGCGCTATGCTTCCGGGGATAACCTACGGGCACCTTTCCCAGAGGCCTTGGTGGGCTCACTTCCCTGTCTTCTTAGAGACCCCTTGGTGGGTGCTGCGTTCCATAAAAAGCAGGAAGGAATCAGCATGTTGGACAGGGAGAGCAACAGGAATTACTCAAGTAACCCAAGTCTGCATTTGGGAGACAGGCTTCTATAGCACACATGATTCTAGCCTAAAGAGACATTTACCCAGGGCCAGAATTTGGGCCTGTGCTGTGGTATTTGCAAACACATGCAACAAATCCCCCACTGGGCTGACGTGGCACCGCTTATTAATCTCCTAGAAAACAGTGAGTCTTTGGGGGCTACCAGGAATCAGGGCAAACCTAAGTGATTCCTTTGACAATTGGTAGCATCTTAGAATGAACAGGAGGGTTGAGCAAAGCTGACTACATCATCTATAAACCTTGAGAGCTTGTTTGGAGCATAGCTACTCGTATACCCGAGACTGAAGGACAGTCCTCTTCAACTGAGTGCACAGCTTCAGGAGGGACACACATGACCTGGAGCAGTGAGGGAGGATGTGGACACCAGCCTAGCCAGGCAGATCAGTGGAGACAACTCTGGTCTTCAGGGGGATAAGAAATGTCACAGATAACCCACACATCCTGCCCACATATTCTAGAAAGGGAAGTTGTTCTCACGAGAGTCCAGCGGTCTCACAAATGATGGGAAGAAAGGCAGCTAAGTGGTCTCAGAGAGGATGTGGAATCCTTTAATGGCACATTTGGGTGCTGACCTGCCTGTTGCTGCCCTGTGGGGACAGAACCAAGGTATTCTGCTCACTGTGTTTTGTCGGCATCTAACTCATGCATATAACAAGCCCTTGACTAGACTTTCTGAGTAAATACATGGATTGATTCGATGAATGAATGAACCTACTCCTCTGAAAAATCAGTAACTTACCCATACACAGTTACTCCCACAACTGTGACCCCTGACCTGCCAGGAATGAAACCTCTGTGAACCTCTGCTCTGGGGTAGGAAGGCAGAGGAGCAAAATTAAGGGTAGTGGGGAGGACTGTCTTCTTCACAGAGCAGAAAGGAACCCTACAAGGGGGAGAATATTCAGAGGTAAATATCACACCCCCCACACCCCATCTCCCCAGGCCAGGCCACCTCCTCTGGAACTATAGTTGGGGAACAAATCAGAAAGGGACTTAGAACAGTCACAGCTCAGGCCTCCTCAGAAGAAAAGGTGTCCCTGGGTGGCAAAAGCAGTTAAACTTGCCAGAGCTGAAAGGATGGCAGTTCAAACCCTCCCAGGTGCTTGACAATCACTTCCAAATGTCCACAGCCTTGGAAAGCTATTGTAGCTGTTCTAGTCTACACACACATGGGGTCACCAGGAGTCAGAAGTGACAGAAGGGCAAACCGACACCACCTTAGGAAAAGGAGCCCGAGCGAGCCTTCTGCGACGCTTCCATGGGATTTCATCGCCAACGTAACCACACCTATCATGTGAAAGAGAACCTCCCAACCAGGTTGCAGCAATGTGACCCTCAGTACTCCTGAGGCAGTCCCTGGATTCTAACATGACTCACTTTCTGGGTTGTAGGATCTTTGGACAATTTGAATAGTTAATTATTTAATTATTTAATGCTTTGCTACAATGATCGCCTAGTTCTTTCTCCTTGTGACTCCCAAACAGGGTAAAGTAAGATCTATTCCTATCTGTGTCTTTAAAAACTTTATAGATAAGTGTACAAGGTCCTTACTGGTGGCGCTGTAGGATAAAGCACTGGATCAGCAGTTCAAACCCACCCGCCACTCTATAGGAGAAAGATGAGGTTTTCTGCTCCCATAAAGATCTGTAGTCTTGGAAATTCTATCCAGGGTTGCCATGAGTCTGAATTGACTAGAGGGCAGTACGGTTTTGGTGAAAAAAAAATTTCTCAAAATCTTTTCAATGATTTAAAAGCTGCAAGTGAAGCAAGTGAAGGTGACTGCGATGAAGGATGTGTTCTAAATTGGACTCGGTTCAAGGTACCCATGCAGCAGTTTGAATTCACCAGCCGTTCTGAGGGAGAAAGATAAGGCTGTCTCCTCCTGTGAAGATTTACAGTCTTAGAACTCCCGCACAGTGTTGTCATGAGTTGGAACCTACTCAACAGCATGCAGCGACAGCAGGAGTGAGAGCAAATTTATGTAATGTTCAAGGAGGGCTTCAAAGATCGTAGTGCCAACTCAAAGATGGTGGCCAAATGTGCCGCCTCGATGTGGCACTCCAGAGTCTTGTCAGTAATCCAGTCTCATGCATCAGGTCTGAAAAGGTTCACTTCACCTCTTCGGAGCCTTCTATTCAGGGCTTAACTAAATTATAGAAATCCTGGTCAGCTTCTGTTTCCCTGTTTCAGTCATGACAGAACTGATTTATAGTACAGTGAATTTACTGAATGTCTCTTCTAGCCATGATCTTTGTGACACCCACCAAATGAGTGGGCTGTTGTTCAGTGCCATTGAGTAGGTTCTGACTCATAGTGACTCTATATAGGGTTTCTGAGGCTTTAAATCTTTTCCAGAGCAGAAAGCTACTTCTTTTTCCTAAAAAGCAGCTGGCAAACTTGAACTGCTGACCTTGTGGTTTCGAACTCCAGTGAGCCACCGCGCTCCCTAATGAGTGGCTGGTTGATTTGGTTGGTTCTGTGCCATGGAGTCGGTTCTAACACATAGCAACCCTGAATAGGGTTTCCAAGACTGTAAATCTTTGTTGTTGTTGTTGTTGTTATGTGCCATCGAGTCAGTTCCGACCCATAGCGACCCTGTATAGGGTTTCCGAGGGTGTAAATCTTTACGGGAGTAGAAAGCCTCATCTTTCTCCCGTGGAGCAGCTGGTAGTTTCGAACCCGCTGACCTTAAGGTTCGCAGCCCGATTCGTAACCACTATGCTACCAGTGGATGGAAGCATGCAAATACGGTGTACATGCCAGCTGGGATTGGTTAGTTTTGCCATCTTGCTATATTTAAAAGGAGTCACCTCAGAAGCAGGAACAGAAAGGTCACAGGACCCTCAAGAAAGCAAAGTCACCAGATCGCCACCTGGAAAAACCGCAGCAGCATGCAGAGACAAAGGAGCTGCCGGCAAAGCTGAGTGCCTGCAGGCCAGCCGAATGTGCCCTTTGGACATTTATAGACAGGCTTTGTAACACTTGCTTGAGGGGCCACATACCACAGGAAGAAGACGAGAGAGGTGTGCCTGCCTGGAGAACTGATCCTGAATCGTACCCTGTTCCCGTCCCTAATAAACCCCATAATCCTGAGTATTGTCTTGAGTTCTGTTTGGTCATTTCAATGGATTATCAAACCCAGATGTGAAGCAGAGGCAGCTGTGGGAGGGATGGTTGGTGTCAGAAGAGGGTAAAGACAGTTGAAGGGTAGAGGCATGTCTGACCTCCAGTTTATAACAATCAGCTTTGAGCTGATTTTGAGTTTGATTCTCTTTCCCTCTTGTGAAACCAGAGGAAGTCAGACATGACCTCCCTATGTGCCATTTTTCAAGGTCTGAAATGGTTTGAACTCCTCTTAAAGGGCAACTGTTATTGTTGTTAAGTGCCGCTAAGTCGATTCTGACTCATCGTGACCCTGTATAGGGTTTCCAAGGAGTAGTAGCTGGTGAGTTTGAACTGACCACCTTGTGGTTCACACCGACCTTGCAGTCCGGTGTTTTATCCCACAATGCCACACCAGGACTCCAAAGGCAAATTGCTGTTAAGTGCTATTGAGTTGGGTTCTGACCCATAGCAACCCTGTATAGGGTTTCCCGAGGAGCAGTGGGTGAGTTTGAACTGCAGGCCTCCCTGTTCAAGTGGAATTTATAGTCCAGCACATGAACCAACTGCCACACCAGGAGTCCATAAAACTGATGGTTGTAACCCAGGAGACTGCCTGTAATTTTCTTCCTCTTTGTCACTGTGCCCGTTGGTCCTGGTTCAATCTCTGGGCCACACAGACCCTACCTGCTTTCTCTGTCCCATGACAGCCCTCAGAAACATGTACCCACTTATCTGCCACCAGGGACAAGATCTCCCTGTTCCTTCAGCAGCCCCTCACAGACCCTACAACCAGATCCCCTTCTCCAAATATAGTCCCTCTTTGGGTGTTGGGTCAGATACATGACCCTCTAGGAGAGATCCAAAAGACAGCTGTGAAATGATGTCTCCAGTGACTCTGCCTTTGGTGGTCCTTTCAGTGGCACCATATCCCCAAATAACCAACAGTATAGCCTTTCCCACCTGGTGCAGACTACAGACTGACTTATATCACATCTTCCTTGTCCAAAAGGCATCAGCCCCATAGGTGTCCACAAGAGCCTGGAACCTCTCCAGGGCCAGAACTCACCTTCTGAGAATTTAACTCCTTGGTGAGTATCAGAACCTGCTGCTCCAAGGCCTCCATCTTCTCCTGGGAGGTTCGGCCACGTGTGAGCCCTTCAGGAAAGCGTGGGAAGGTGTTGTTCTGGCGTTTGGCTTTCTGAATCAGATTGGCTGTTAGAGACTTGGGCGTAGGCTTTGGAGACTCTGCTGGCTCCCTCCCTGCCCAAGAGGAGAAATGCAAAGGTTATGCGTTGATGACATAATAGTTCTCAATCCAGAGCTAGTGGCAAAAGCAACTAGGAGAAAGAAAGAAGGTTTGCTTAAAATCAGATTATTAGGTCCTACTCTTTGAGCTCATTCTCGAAACTGCGCCTATCTTCTGCCTAGGACCTGAACCCGCAGGGGGTTTGTCATGCTCAGACCATCTCCTCAGGCACAAGCCCTGGCAGCTTGCCTGGTTTCTTATTTCAGGATCCCATCTCTACCCTCTGGGTGATTTCCAAAGCACACAGATCTGTCTCTTGATAGGAGTACAGCATTTCTCTACGTCTTATTCTTATCTCTAAATAACAGCTCAAACTGGTTTTTTTTGTTCTTTTCAAACTCTAAGTTAGGAGCTATACATACATTTCCCATAGCTGATGGTCTCAAAGCTGCATAGCCCTTTTATTTTCTCTAGAGCATGAGTCAACTAATTATGGCTCCAAGGCCAAATCTAATCTGTAGCCTGATTTATAAAGTTTTATTGAAACATAGCCACTCCCATTTGTGGGAAATGGAGAGAAGGAAGGGAGGTGGGGCAGGCAGGAGAAAGCAAAGAAAAGAAAGGAAAGAGCAAGAGAGAGTTCCCCCTTTTTGAGCCAGTCAGGCGGTTGGTCAGTCTGAAGTCAGTGAGCTGCATGGCTTGGAGCCTGCGTCCAGCTCCCTCACCACTTTCTGTGTTGGGCCACGTGGCAGGGTGGGGAGGCGGGTGCTGGAGGAGAAGTTGCAGGGTTCTTGGACCGACACTTGAAAGGGAATGAGAACAGTGTCCCAGCCATGGTTTCTATGCATCGTGGTGACACGGGATACATCTACTGGGCGCCAGCCTGAGTGTGGATGGAGCAGCACCAAGGGCTCCCACTGTGGCAGCCCACCTCCCTCTCAGACCCTACAAGATCCCAGCAGAACTTCCCAGGCCTGCACCCACAGCCTCAGGGGAAAGAAGAACTCTTCTTTATGGAGAGAAATAAAGAAGTTGAAAGCATCTTGAAGAAAAACTTGGACTGGATATGGGATTGATCAGTTGGTCAGAAAACATGCCCCCAAGGAATTCTTCAAGCATCCAAAATGCACAGCCATCCTCAGCTTGGGTGTCAGAGGGGGCATCTCCTCAGCAGAATTCCTTAAGGTTTTGCTTTGGTCTCTGCTGCTCTCTCATCTGTTGGCCACCGCTCTTGGGATCTACATTGGAAGGCACCTGACTACCTCAACCAGCACCTTCTAATGAAGCCTGGAGCTGACTCTGTTCTCACAGCAGGGATGGAGCTGCCCACACCCACTGTAGGGAGTCTGGATCCTGGGTGGCTGCATGCCTGGTGTGTGTGTTCTGAAAATGCTACAATCCCAGCAGTGACACAGAAGAATGCCACCCCAACCATGCTAATCTGTAATCATGCCTGTGTGATCACTCACAAGCATGTCAGACTGATTATAGCAATGTTTGGTAGTAATTTTCACTCGGATATATAGCTGAATATAAACAATCTTAATATATGAATATGGCGTATGCAGTACTGTAATAAATCATTGCTACTAGTCCTGGGGAAGTGACCTGAGAGTTTTATCTGTGATGCACAGATGTACAAATGACAGTGAGCAGGTCCTGGCACCATGGGGAAGAGAGCATTTACTTGTTGGGGCCCTAGGGTCTCTGAAGAAAGCTCAGAGATGGCCAGAGAGTCACCTGGGGTGCAGAGATCAGGGGGCAAGGGCTGCTCCTCCTTCTGAGGCTCCCCACTTTGGAGAGAATCTTCCCCTGGAGGGCCCTGGCCTGCTCCTTGGGCCTGCTTGTTGCCTCGGATGTTATACATTGTGTTTCTGAAAGGAAAAAGACAGCAGTGTAAAGCTGGTTGGGAAGTCAGTTCAGGGACAACAGCCCAGCCATCCTGTCCCCTCTCCTTTTACTGCCACTGCTGGAGCCCAGACCCCTGCTGCTGCACCCAGACACAGGGGATGGACTCCCGGAGTCCAGGTGCCCTGCAGGCTACGTACTCACGCAGGCACTCCCAGCCCACTGCCCTGCTCTTTTTCATTTCTCCATCACACCAAGCAGCCTCCATACACCACTATACTGCCTATAAACAAGCTACGTTTGACTCCTCTGTCCCACAACCCACTGCTGGAGTATAAGCTCCATGAAAGCAGGGATGTTTGCCTGTATTGTCCACCAGTGGACCTCAATGCCAACAACAGTGCCTGACATATGTATTTGTGTGCCGCCAGGTCAGTTAGGCTCATAATGACCCTAGAAGACAGAGGAGACCTGCCCCATAGGGTTTCCTAGGCTGTACTATTTATGAGAGCAGATTGCCAGGCATATAGAAACCCCAAATCAAACCCACTGCCGCTGAGTTGATTCCGACTCACAGTGAGCGGATACAGGGTTTCTGAGACTGTAAATCTTTACGGGAGCAGACGGCCTCATCTTTTTCCTATGGAGCAGCTGGAGGGTTAGCAGCCCAACACCAATGGTATATGTTGTTGTTGTTAAGTGCTGTCGAGTCGGTTCCGACCCATAGCGACCCTGTACAGGATTTCCGAGGGTGTAAATCTTTACGGGAGTAGAAAGCCTCATCTTTCTCCCGCGGAGCAGCTGGTAGTTTCGAACCACTGACCTTAAGGTTCGCAGCCCGATTCGTAACCACTACGCTACCAGGATAGAAGGTGTTAATATATGCAAGGGGGGCTTCAAAGAGTTTATGGAAAAATGAAACTGAAAGCCAATGTAATTTTTCCATGAATTTTGTGAAGCTCCTTCATCTGTGTGGAATAGGTTTGCCAAATGAACTTTCCTAAAGCCTTCAGTGGGCTTTGTAACACGGTTCAAATGCCCTGGCTCAACCACTGCCAGGCATTCCTGCCTTCTGTTCAGAGAAGTTCCTATCTACTTCCCTTGTCACCTGTCCCTGCTCAGATCTGTTTTCACTGGAACCTTTATTAGCCACCTCTCTGCCTCTTGGAGTTTGCTATACTCATGTCCAGATCAAGTGTTTGGTTAGCTGAATACTCTTCATGGTGTCATTCTTTAATAACTAGGCTCTAATCGGGCTGCGAACCTTAAGGTCAGCGGTTCGAAACTACCAGTCGCTCCGTGGGAGAAAGATGAGGCTTTCTACTCCCGTAAAGATTTACACCCTCGGAAACCCTGTACAGGGTCGCTATGGGTCGGAACCGACTCAATGGCACTTAACAACAACAACAACAAAATCTACCTATGGAGCTCTGGTAGCGTAGTGGTTACGAATTGGGCTGCGAACCTTAAGGTCAGCGGTTCGAAACTACCAGCTGCTCTGCAGGAGAAAGATGAGGCTTTCTACTCCCGTAAAGATTTACACCCTCGGAAACCCTGTACAGGGTCGCTATGGGTCAGAACCGACTCAACGGCACTAAACAACAACAACAACAATCTACCTATGGAGTCCTGGTGTGGCGCTGTGGGTTAATGTGCCAGACTGCATAGCCATTTGAACTACAAGGTTGGTGGTTCAAGCTCACCAGCTACTCCTCAGCAACCCTATACAGGGTTGCTATGGGTCAGAACCGACTTGAGGGCACTTAACAACAACAACCTACCTTCATCTGTGTTGACACTTGACGTTGGGTTGCGTGTGCCCACAGTACAGGCCTGGGACATGATTAGCTAGGAGGAAGGAACTAGGTAACACCAAAGACTGGTCTAACACCACTCAGATGAGTTTATTTCCAGCCCAAGTGAGTTTATTTCCTTTGAGAGAAGGAAACTCTGAACTCATTTGATCATTTTCTCTCCCCTGTTATTAAGTTTGTAGCATGTCTACTTTTGAGTTCAGTAGTAGGTCAGTGCTCTTCAAATTGTGACTAAAATTGCTTTAGTATCATGACCAACATTTAAAAACGGAAATAGAAAACATCGGAATGCATCCTGCTGAAAGGTTAGCAGCATTTGGTGAGTGCGTATTGTCTGCACTGACCTGTAATATTAAAAGAATTTCTTACAAAGGGCCATGTGCAAAACAGTTTGGAAAACACTGCTTTAAAAAAGGTTGGTGTAAATGGTTTGCGCTCAACAACTAATTGAAATCTTGCTGGTTCAAACCCACCCTGCAACACCATGGAAGAGCCATAAAGATTACAGCTTAGCTCTCCTCTATAACACACGACAACGTCATGAGTCACAATTGACTAAACAGGAATGGATTCGACTCTTTCAGGAGCATTTACTTAAAGGGCAGCAGTGCTATTGTTATTGGGGGATACTGAGTCCATTTCAACTCTTGGTGACCCTGTGTGTCAAACTAGAACTGTCCTACAGAGTTTTCTAGTCTGTGCTCCTTGGAAACCCTATACAGGGTCGCTATGGGACAGAATCAACTCGACAGCACTTAACAAAAACAACAATCTTATGTGAACAGATTGACAGGTCTTTTCTTCTACAGAGCTGCTAGCTGGGTTAGAACCACCAATGTTTCCGTTAGTAGCCAAGTGCTTAACCACTTGCACCACCAGAACTCCTTAAAGAGTAGCAACAGCACGGTCACAAAAACAGAGGCATCTGTAGATCTTTGATGTTGTTGTTAAGTGCCGTCGAGTCGGTTCCAACCCATAGCGACCCTGTACAGGGTTTCCGAGGCTGTAAATCTTTACGGGAGCAGAAAGCCTCATCTTTCTCCCGCGGAGCGGCAGGTAGTTTCAAACTGCTGACCTTGCGGTTCACAGCCCAATTTGTAACCACAGATCTTTGATAGTGTCCTGATATTAATATATAATCCCTGTGTGCAATGTATACTTCTCAAAATATGTGGATAAATTACTCTGAAAAATCCTTATTCCATGAGGACCTAGAAGTTGGGTAAATACAGATCATATTTTGTGAACACTTAGCTGAACTCCCAGGAAAGGAAGGGAAATCCCTGAGGATTCAAAACGAAAAAAGGAGCTAAAATGCCAGTGGGAAGTAAAGAGAAAGATGGATGTGTAAATCAGATTCTGTTGAGCGAATATTCACACCCCCTCTTCATCCTGTGGCAGGAGAGCACCTCCTCTCTTCCTTGGAAGTTTGGCATGGCCGCCTTATGACTTGTTCGGTCAGTGGGATGTCAGCAGACGTGATGCAAATAAAGGCTTAAAATGTGCTTGCACATGGGACTTGTTCTCTTGTACTTTTTTTAAAAATTTATTAAATGTTTTTATTTTGGATTGAGTGAAAGTTTACAGTTCTCTTGTACTTTTGCTTTTCATCATGAGAAGACCATGCTGCAGGTAGCTGCAGGTCCATGGAAGTTGAGAGACATGTTAGATCAGCCAAGATCAGGTAAACCTAGTCCAGAACAGTTAACCCCAGATGAGTGAGAACTAAATGTTCACTCTTATATGACACTGAAGTTTATAAAGTTTTTCATGATAGAAAAAAGAAACCAGGAAAGAAGAAAAGACACAGAAAAAGCAGGACATAAACTATAAGGTGGGAACACAATGGCTCTCTGTAGGATAAACATTGGACTGCCAACCACAAGTTTGGCAGTTCAAGCCTACAAGCTGCTTCTTGGGGGACAGATGAGGCTTTCTGCTTCTGCAAAGATTTACAACCTCTGAAGCTCTATATAGGGTCGCAGTGAGTCACTGAGTCAGATCTAAGGCACTTAACAATAACAAAACTATATAGGACATAAGAAATATTCCAAACACACCAATAATCATAATAAATGTATGTGGGTAAAACTTGCAAGTTAAAAAAAATGGAGGGATTCTCAGACCCCGAAGGAAGCTTGGGCAGGCTCCTTTCCTACTCTGTATCTCCCAGCCCATGAGATAGCCATGATATTGGGACAAATCTCACTGGTCACAGTGTGCAGCATGGGGCAGCACAGGGCCTTGTCAAATGCTGCTGGATTCAGTTTGCAACTTGTTTTTATAGATTTTTGTGTTTATATTCACAGGAGATTTTGCTCTATAACCTTTTTGTGTGATGCTTTTGTCTAGTTTGGTATCAAGGGGATACTGGTCTCACAAAATGAGTTGGGAACTGCATTCATCTTAAAAAAATGTTTTTGGAAGATTGTATAAAGAATCGCTCCTAATTCTTTAAATGTTGGACATAATTCCAGTAAAGCCATCTGACTCTGGGTTTTTCTTTGGGAGTAGTTTTTTGATCATTAATTCTTTACTTGCTATAGTTCTCTTCAGATTTTCTGTTTTTGCTTGGGGCAGCTTGGGTAGTTTGAATCTTTCCAGGAATTTGTATGTTTCCTTATAGTTTTTAGGTTGTTGGCATACAGTTGCTCATTGTTGTTGTTGCTCGGTGCCATAGAGTTGGTACCGACTCATACCGACCTTATGTACAACAGAAAGAAATACGGCCTAGTCCTGGGCCAACCTCACAATTGTTGCCACACTTGAGCCCATTGATGCTGCCTTTTTGCAAATCTATCTCACTGGGGATCTTCCTCTTTTTCTCTGAACCTCCACCTTACCAAACATGATATCCTTCTCTAGCAAATGGTCCCTCCTGATAATATGTCTGAAGTATGAGAGACAGAGTTTGGCCATCCAGGCCTCCAAGGAGCACTCTGCAGCACTTATTCCAAAACAGATCTGTTTGTTCTTTTGGCAGCCCATGGTACTTTCAATATTCTCCTCCAAC